CGTTTGACAAACTCACTGAGCACCTGGTCACCTCGTGCATATTGGGCATTCTGTTGGGCACGGGGGATAAAAAAATGGCTAAGATGGGAGCTCACCTTCCAGGGACTTGTAGTCTAGTGGGAGAGAGCACTTTAGCAAGGTGTGTGAGTGCAGTGATGAAAGTGTGCACAACGCGGCTTCCCAGAGCCGTTCTACTGTGAGTGAGTCTTGAAGGCTGACCTGGCCCAGCCAGGAGAAGAGCACGAGTGAGCGACAGTGAGGAAGAATGGAGGGGTTAGCTGGGGCTCTGAGAAGTGGCCAGTGGGGCATGTGCAGGGTGTGCCCTCAGCTCCGTGTCACCAGGGCACAGGGGGATGGGGGAGAGGGCATAAACACCGCTAGACGGTCAGGCAGGAGCCAAGCCTTGCTGGCCTTCCATGCCGTCTCAACGAATGCGGGCCTGGTTTCGGGTTAGCTTTTTAGATTCTTGGCAATGGCAGAGCCACTTGATGTGGGTGCTAGCCCAGGTCAGAGGGGTCCTCTGGCCAGAGCTGTGCTCTCTGGCAGCCCCAGAGCTCCCAGGTGCTTCACTCTGCCCCCCGGTGGCCTCTTGGCTGCAGGTGTTTGTAGGTTATCTCACTCCATTATCTGTCACAGTTGATACCTTTTATATCCCCATTTTAGAATTTTCTAAAAAATTGAGGCCCGATTATCAGACCAATTGAGTGTCTTGCCGGAGGAATGAACTCAGGTTTGTCTGCTGCGCTGCTCTCAGAGGCTGAGAATGTGTCCATACAACTCTGGAGCTGCCCTTCTTGAGGTGAAAGGTGGAAGGTCATGCGTGCCCACCAGGGCCACGCAACACTCTGCTTTCAGGGGACGTGTGTGGAAAAAGCTGCGCCTTGGCAGGAGATTGAGTTGGCAAGGAGAGAATCACAGTGGGCTTTCTCTAAATTGTCTCGTGTGTGTAAAGTGGAGGGCGTTGTCATTAGTGTGACTGAGTTCATGCTTATGGACAGGGCGTCGGCCCGCTTGTGTCAAGGTGCCTGGGAAGGCTGAGCTCGCCGCCTGGCTCACCCAGACTGCTCACATACTCTAGAGGAGGTGGAGGCACGGTGGGCTGGCTTTGCATGACCAGGGCCCTTGATCTGGAGGCATCTCCACAGAACACTCGGGATGCGTTCCACAGATGCTCATTCTGCGTCCCGTCCCTCCCCAACTTCCTTTCATCTAATCCTGGCCAAAGGCAGGACGCTCTGCAGACGGCAGCTCCCCGCCGTTCGGCCCCTGCCTGCTTCTGTGGCCTGGTCCATCACTTCCTGGGGTTTTGCATCCTCATGCTGCCCCTCTGCACAGACCGCCCCCCACCCCCCACCCCCAGTCCAGCACTGTGAGGGCTGGGCCCCCAGCCATCGTCCTCACGCCTGTGGCCTGAGCTCTGAGCTCAGTCCCTGACACACGGGAATAAATGAATGTATACACAGAGCATGAAACAGAAGGCAGAAGGAATGGTGACGTTGCTCTTAGGGGCTTATTAAGAATAAGATTCTTTTAAAGTAAAATGATCTGTCTCTAGTGCTTTGCATGATATAAATAATAAGCATAGATAAATTGTGGATGTTCTTGATACCTGTCTTCTCACATGTACACAGTATTCATCCTTGAACCATGCTGATCAGGGTCCCCGTTTTTATTCCTGAAATGATTAATACATAAGCCCAGTTTGCCCCCACAGAGTATGCATTGTGTCCACGAGCATGCTGGCCAGGTGATGGGGGCATGAGCTTATTGAATGAGACACCTAGACTTTGGTCAGTGCTTTAAGGAGATAGCAGGCCCTCCCAGGGAAAGTTCAAAAGGCCTCTAACAAGAAAGAAAGAGAACTTTGAGAATTCAAGAAGGCAGGGCCTCTTTAAATAGAAACCTATCCTCAGGAAGACAGAATGAAATTCAGTCCATCTGGAAGTGTTGCACACCTGGTAAATATCCAGCCTTACAGTGTACTTTGGGGTACAAAGGAAATGCCCCAGCCTCTGTCTACTAGGCCTTTGCAGCCTGTTTGGGAAGAAGGGGACACACATGAAAATGTTGGCAAGAATGCAAAGCAACCTATAATAGGTGCCGGCAGTAGAGGAAAAACTCTAGGTGTTGAGGAAAAAGATCTTTCTGCTGGTCAGGGAGGGCACATGGTCAACCACGTGTGTTTGAAGGACAGTGAGTTTTGTAGTTTAGCAGAGGAGAGCTTGCAGAAACATAGGAGATAAACAGAGATAACAATAGTTATTATGGTGATCGTAATGATATCCTGTATTATAAATACAGAGGCACCAGAGTCAGCTAACAACCAGGGAGTGTGACTCCACGCCAGGGCTCAGATTCAGTTCTGAAGATGACGGGCCGCCAGCACCCCATCCTCCCTGCTCCCCATGAACCAAGGACTGAACTGTTAAGTTTCCCTGATCTCAAAAAAACACTTGAAGTAAATTTTTATGAACACATTCTCCTGGCTACGAACAGTCCTATGACGCTCATTGCAGTTTTTCAATTTAAAAAAATATGAAGAAGAAAATAAAATGACCCATAATCTTACCACACTCTGAGATAGTGAGTGAACATTTCGTGCATTTCCTTCCAAGTTTTTCATAGTGTTAATTGCCGGGTGTTGGGACATGAGTAGCCAAGGTGGAACTTCCACCGTTAATGCAGCATGACCAGTCTTAATACCGATTTTTAAATGAGATGAATTCAGCCCCCTTGTGTGGAAAGGATTTCCCATTACTGTTCAGAGAGCAGAGCAGACACGTGGACCGCTGAGGCACACCCTGGGAAGTGAGCCCTGTTCATGGGGTAGCGTAGTCCCAGCTGAACACAAGGCTGGGCTGCATCTTGTCCCGAAACCATGACCGCAGTGCCCTGAGATCTGACCCTGTGCCTCCTAGAGAGAGGAGCCAGGGCTCTGGGGGGCAGCGCCTCAGTCAGGGCCCTGCAGTGACCTCATGAGGTCCGTATGTCCTATCCTCCCTGGCTTGTAAGCCCCGATGTCTTAGCCCACTCTTGCCTAAGTCTAGAAGATGCCTTCCAGATGGTCTGTCTGCTGTTTTTGTTGGTCAGTCTTTGCTTCAATCACGAGAGCACTGGGGTGATTGAAGGCTTGAGGTGATAACCTTGATCTTGTTGCTGAGTTAAAGACAGAGCTGACTTGTTTCAAATAGCAGAACACAAAGCAGAGAAGAATCTGGGTGGAATGACTGGTCCAGGGCAGTAGGAGAAAAGTAGTAGATTTTCATTACATTTCATAAGAAAATGCATACATGTTTACAGCCTGGTGTTTTTGTTGATCATTTATGTATGTAGCCCTGTGCTATTAGTAGGAGTAACTTTCCTCTACTAAATAGTACATTCTGATACTACTTATCAAATGGTATTTGTGAGGTATCCCCATCTTACAGATAAGGAGATGGGGGTTTAGCACTTGTGAATGGCCTGGCTGGGGTTTACCACCTAAGTCCAGAGCCCGTGCTCTTTGTTCCTTGCTGGTTTTGCGTTTAACTTCTGCCTTTATTACAGAGGGTTTTTGCGGCCCTTCTCGTGGCCTCTAGTACAAGTACTTAGTGTATTCTAGCGCATTGTGACCTTTTCAGAGGTCAGGCTGCTCCTTTGGCCATGAGGTGGCCATTTCATGTATCTTTTTCAAAAGGGTGCAAGGTGAGGTGATACCAGCATAGATTCTTGGAAAAGCAACTTCCCATAAGAATCTCTTCACAGGGGGGAAAATGAAACAAGACGAAACCAGAGAGGGAGACAAACCGTAAGAGACTCTTAATCTCAGGAAACAAACTGAGGGTTGCTGGAGTGGAGGGGGGTGGGAGGGATGGGGTGGCTGGGTGATGGACATTGGGAAGGGTATGTGCTAGGGTGAGCGCTGTGAATTGTGCAAGACTGTTGAATCACAGACCTGTACCTCTGAAACAAATAATACATTATATGTTAATTAAAAAAAAAAAAGAATCTCCTCACAGGAAAACCCGGAATTCTTTCTGAGCCTCCCCAACTGCTTTACAATTAGGCGCTTCCATGGAATCCTGAGTATTGAAGCCATTCTGAATTTTCTTCTAGGCTTCTCTCTAGTTGTTTTAATTGTGGATGATGTCCCACAGGCTGTGGGAGAGCATTTATATTTATTTTTAGCTCCTAATCTTCGAGGGCAGAGACTCTCAAATTTTTCTGTATGGGAGACTCTCCCAAGTGCTTAGTATTAAAACAGCTTGCTGGGGGATGCCTGGGTGGCTTAGTCAGTTAAGCATCCAACTCTTGGTTTTGGCTCAGGTCATGATCTGAGTGGTGAGACTGAGCCCTGCATCAGGCTTCACACTCAGTGGGGAGTCTGCTTGAGATTCTCTCTCTCCCTCTGCCCCTCCCCGCCCACTTGCACATGCGCTTGCTTTCTGTCTCTCAAATAAATTTTTAAAGACTTTTTAAAATTTATTTATTTGACAGAGCACAAGCAGGGGGGAGGGTCAGAGGGAAAAGCAGACTCCCCGCTGAGCAGGGAACCTGCCATGGGGCCCGATCCCAGGAGCCTGGGATCATGACCTGAGCCGAAACCGAGTCGGATGCTTAACTGACTGAGCCACCCGGGTGCCCTGTCAAATAAATTAAGAAGAAAAAAAAAAAACCAACCCAAAACAGCTTGCTGGGCCCCACCCCCAGTCTCTGATTCAGGCAGTCCGGGTTGGGGCCAGGGAGGTTGCACTTCTAGCATGTTCTCAGGAATGCTGCTGCTGTAGGGGGAGGCAACACTTGGAGAACCACTTTTCCAGGGTTTCTGGCAGAATCCCCACGCGTGCCTTCCCATGCCCCTGACCCCCTGTAAAATCACCCTCCAAACCACTCTGCTTTTACTTCCTTGTACAAAATTAGCCAGAGACATCAGGTGAAGTCTATGGTCTGGCTTCTGAAGTTAGGTGGCGGTGTGACTTGGTCTTTGGGAGCTCACTCGTGTGGGGGACCTGGTGTTTCAGGTAGTGCGAGCGGCCGAGGAGGCGGCATCCACGCTGGCCAGCTCCATCCACCCGGAGCAGTGCATCAAAGTCCTCTGTCCCATCATCCAGACGGCTGACTACCCCATCAACCTCGCCGCCATCAAGATGCAGACCAAAGTCGTCGAGAGGATCGCCAAGGAGTCCTTGTTGCAGCTCCTCGCCGACATCATCCCGGGCTTGCTACAGGTGGGCCCTCCCGGCGGCTGGCCGGCGCCCATCTGCCCGGGAGCAGGCACCACCCAACCCGGGCGTGTGGGGGCTTTGCTCTCCTCATTCACTCCAGGGGCGGGGAGGGAAAGGCAGGCGCCAACCTGTGCTTTTAGGAACCTGTGCAGCTGAATGGCTTGGACACCCCACGCCTTCTGTTTTCTAACGCCTCCCCTGAATGTAGCAGGAAGATCCTCCTGGCAGATTAGAACTGTGGCTCCCAGAATGAACTTTCTGTTTACTATAAATATATTTTGGTCATTTTTGTTGTTGTTCGTTCCTTCAACAAACCCTTATTGCACACCTGTGGGCCCCAGCCCTGGGCAAGGCGGGCCATGGATCAGATACAGGTCCTTGCTCTCCTCTCCAGCAAACACTTCTTGAAAGCCTTCGAAGTGTGAGGCATTGTGTTAGAGTGTGGAAGAGAAGAGATGTTTTGTGGTGCTGCGGCACGATCCCGAGGGTGTCTCAGCATGCCATGGGACCCAGTACAGCCATGCAGGCGGCTCTAGATGGGGGCACCATGCGCCGTTACCGTAGGTATGAGTGGAGGTTTCCGAGATAAGAGGTTGAGGGGTGATTTCGGGGCTGGGGTAGTGGAGAGGGGAGGGCTCACCTAGGAGCCAGTTTAGAGTCAGACCCTGGAAGGAGAGCAAGATTTCAGGGGGAAGGTAGAGATAAATCAGCTTCACAATTTAATAAATACTCTGCTTGCCACACACTTGGCTTGGAGTTTAAATACAGAAAAATCCTCAGGGCTGCTTGGAAAGCAGCAGGTAGTCCCATTTGAGTGTGGGGCAGGGGCCAGGCCAACGGGTAGATTGAGGCCCAGGTGTAGAGGATGCGGGTCTGGACGTTCCCCAGCCATTTTTGGCTGGCACAGAGGTTCTGCCCACAAGAGTGAGGGATGCAGTTCTCGTTTCTTAAAAGGCATTTTCACACAAGGTTTGCTTTACCTGGGTGACGCCTGGGTGGCTCAGTCAGTTCAGCGTCTGCCTTCGGCTCGGGTCATGATCGCAGGGTCCTGGGAACAAGCCCCTTGGTCAGGGCTTCCCTGCTGGGCAGGGAGCCTGCTTCTCCCTCTCCCTCCGCTCCCCCGCACCACCTGCTCGTGTTTGCGCACACTCTTTTTTTCAAAAAAAAAAAAAAAAAAAAAAGATTGGCTTTACCATTGGGAGAAATGTGAGAGAAGCAAGCTGATTGTTCTCCTGCTCTGTCTGGCGTGCGCGCGTTGGGTGGCGCTGAGCCCACGACCGCTCCGGTAGAACAGCACCCCGTGCACAGGCGGGCCAGCCTCCCGCTTCCAGTCTCCCGGCACCAGCTCATTCTCAACACCTTGAAGTTTTGGCCTCTCTGGGCTCCATGGCAGACCTCAGGTGCACCATGGTTGTTGGCAACAAGGCCACGGGTGAACTGTGAGGGCATTTGTGGAAATGTGGATGAGACATTGACTGTGAAGCAGACCTTTGATCTCATGTCCTTTTTGTGTCCCTCTGACTTTGTAGGGTTATGACAACACCGAAAGCAGCGTGCGTAAGGCCAGCGTGTTTTGCTTAGTGGCAATTTATTCCGTAATTGGAGAAGAGCTGAAACCTCACCTCGCACAGCTCACGGGGAGCAAGGTATGTATAGTGTTACACCTGGGCTCTGCCGGCCGTCACAGGTCCGCTTGGCTGCAGCTCTGGCCTCCAGACAGCCGGGGTCCCTCGTGGGCATCAGCAGTCACGAGAGCAGGCTCTCGCCTGGTGCTTGCTGAGTCCTGGGTCCCAGATGCTGTTGGCTGCACTTTGCGTGTGTTGATGCATTCGTTCATGACAATATCCCTGGGGGACAAGGACAGTTATCCCACATTTAACTGCCCAAGGGCACACAGAGCTCAGCTTTTCCCTCCCTATGCTGCCCCTCACGTTCCTCTCAGAGTTTTCTAGAATCAGGGGCCAGATGTGGAACAAAAGGCCCATTGGCTCATTGCAGCTGAGAGTGCTTATTGGTTTAAAAATAAACTTAAAATCTGAAGAGCCTGCCAGGTGAGAGCAGGTGGATGCCCCGAGCTTTGGCAGGAGAGGCGGAGGGGGGAGCGGCAGCTTGAACTCCTGGGCCTTGCAGGCCTCCTGCCTGGTGGCGAGGCTACTCCAGGGACTGCCCGTGGGGGACATGCATCAACATGGAGTTAAAACACCCTGGCGGCATTCTGGATTAAAAACCGTGAAGCTAGGAGGTGCCTGGCGTGCTCCTTATGAAGGAAGGAATCAACAAGTAGTGCCCCGTTTCTTTCCAAATAGAGCAGTTCCTCTGACACAGCTGGTGAGCCTCGCTCCCTGAGAGTTCTGGCAAAGCCAGCTTGCCTGCCTCTGTCCAAGCAGGACTTGCCCCTCAGCACCACTGACACTTCGGGCCACTTCGTTGTCAGGGCTTGTCCTGGGCATCGTAGGAAGATCGGCAACGCCCCTGACTGCCGTCTGTAGATTCCAGTAGCACCCCCACCATCAGACGCAGTCATCCCCATCAAGTCTGCACATCATGGCCAGATCACCCCTGGGGGGCAAAATCACCCCTGCTTGAGAACCACCAATCCAGGAGGAGACATTTGACTCTCCTTGCAGACAAAAATAAGCCGCTGGGTCGGAAGGTGTGAGTGAGGCGGCTGTGGATAAATGATTTGGGGGCTACTTCGCCTGATTCCATTTTCCACTTCCTCCTACAAAAAGGCTCCTCACTGATCCCTGCCCTAGCCAAGACCTGAAAAATACTGAGCCAAGATTCACCAGCAGTGAGGGCTAGAAGACAGTATTTACAAAGGGAATTCAGCTTTTAAAATTCATCCCCAAATTGTATTAGACCCCGGTTTTGTCTGGCAATTTTCATTTTCCTCAGTAAAGCAACTGTCCCATCGTCTCATGTGACCCCTCTAATAATGGACTGAGAAGATACAGGTGTTTTCTCATCCCTGTCTGGCGGCCGACCTACTGGGGCTCCTTTCAGTGGTGGCCTTGGGTCTGGAGCCCGTTACAGCTTGAGTCCACTCAGAGGGCTTAGGAAGGCCAGCCCTCGCACCATTCTGCTTTGGTAGCCCGATTCATCCTGTTACAGGTGTTCGACGTGGTAACTGTGATGTGGTAATATGAACTTTGTAGACTCAGATATACATCTCCATCACCAAAAATCGGTAGCTGACAGACATGGTGCTAAGTCTGTTAGACTAGAAACAAAAGGAATTCCTGTTTCTCCGTGGAGAAAGGCCCGACGCAAGGACACAGAAGGAATGCGTGGGGGGCATTTTGAGAGTGCCCCGTCACTGTGGCAGCAACGCCGTCTCTGGGGTCAGACAGCCTGCCCTCTGGTCTCTGTCTCCCAGTTCTCAGCTAGCTCTAGGACCTTAAACAAGCTTTCTTTTCTTTTTCAGATTTTTTTTTTTTTAATTATGGCAGAATACACATAACATACAATTTGCTATCTTTACCATTTTTGAGTGTACGGTTTACCGGTAGTAAGGACATTCCCATTGCTGTGTGACCATCACCTTCAGAACGTTTTTCATCTTGTAAAACCAATACTCTGTACCCTTAAGTAATAATTCCCCATTATTCCCTCCTGCCGGCCCCTGGCCACCACTGTTCTATTATCGTCTCTATGAATTTGCCTACTCGGGTGCCTCATAAAAGTGGAATCATTTGTTTTTTTGCAACTGGCATATTTCACTTAGAATAACAGTCCTTGAGGTTCATCCTTGTGGTAGCATGTGCCAGAATGTCCTTCCCTTTTGAGGCTGAATAATATTCCATTATATGTACATGCAACAGCTTGCTTATCCATTTTTTGGTAACGGACACTTGTTCTTTCCACCTTGTGTCTGTTGGGAGTAGTGCTGCTATGATAGTGTGTACAGATACGTCTTTGAGACCTGACTTTCAGTTCTTTTGGGTTATCTATGCAGGACTGGAATTGCTGAATCCTATAATAACTTTTCCACGGTGGCTGTGCCCTTTTACAGTCCCAAGAGCAGCACCAAGGGCTCCAGTTTCTCCACATACTCACCAGCATTTGTTTTCTCTTTTTTTTTTTTTTTGATGGTAGCCATCCCACTGGCTGGTGGCCATATGTTCTGTTGGCTGCTTGGTGTATCTTCTTTGGAGAAATATCTACTGAAGTCCTTTGTCCATTTTGAACTGGAGTTTGTTGTTTTTTAATTGTTGAGTTTTAGTTAGAAGTTTTCTATATATTTTGAATATTAATCCCTGTCTTTTGATGCATAAAATTTTTTAATTTTCATGAAGTCCAATTTATCTGTTGTTTTGTTGCCAGTGATCTTGGTATCATAGCCAAGAAATCAGTGACAAATCCAGTGTTGTGAAGCTTCTGCCCTGTGTTTTCTTCTAAGAGTTTTATAATTTAACTCACACATGCAGGTCTCTGGTCCATTTTGAATTAGTTTTTGTATGGCAGTAGGTGATGCTCCAGTCTCATTCCTTTGTATGTGGATATCCAGTTTCCACTGCACCATTTGTTGAAAAGACTACCCTCTCTCCATTAACTGATGATTTTATATCCTACTACTTTGCTAAATATATTAGTCTTAGCAGGGTGTTTTGGGGGGAATCATTAGGGTTTTCCACATATAAGATCTTTCATCATCTATGAATAGAGACTATCTTACTTCTTTCCATTGTGGAGGCCTTTTATTTTCTTGTCTAATTGCTCTGGCTGGAACTTCTAGTACCAAATTGAATAGAAGTGGGGAACATCAGCATCCTTGCCTTGTCCTTGATCTTCCAAGAACACTTTGAGTCTTTTACCATTGAGCATAATGTTCATCATAGGCTCCCCATATATAGATTTTGGGTTTTTTTTTTTTTTTTAAGATTTTATTTATTTGACAGAGAGAGACACAGCAAGAGAGGGAACACAAGCAGGGGGAGTGGGAGAGGGAGAAGCAGGCTTCCCGCTGAGCAGGGAGCCCGATGTGGGACTCGATCCCAGGACCCTGGGATCATGACCTGAGCCGAAGGCAGATGCTTAACGACTGAGCCACCCAGGCACCCCCCATATATAGATTTTGATATGTTGAGGCAGTTTCCTTCTATTCCTAGTTTGTTGAGTAATTTTATTATCAAAGGGTGTTGAATTTTGTCATCATCAATTGAAATGATCATGTGGTTTTTTTCCCTTCATTCTGTTAATGGGGTGTGTTATATTGATTAGATTTTCATATGGTGAGCTATCAAGGAATTTCAGGAACAAATCCCACTTGGCCATGGTGTATACTCTTTTTAATAATGCTGTTGAATTCAGTTTGCTAGTCTTCTTGAGGATTTTTATATCAGTATTCATAAGAGATATTGACTCATAGTTTTCTGTTCTTGTCTCCCATCTGGCTTTGGTATCAGGACAATGCTGACCTTACAGCATGAGTTTGGAAGTGCTCCTTAATCTTCGATTTCATGGAAGAGTTTGAAGAGGGTTGGTGTTAGTTTGCTAAACGTTTGGTAGAATTTATTAGGGAAGCCATCTGGTCTAGGGCTTTTCTTTATAAGAGGCTTTTTGTTGTTGTGTTTTTGTTTCTGTTTTACTGCTGTCAATGAGAGGAAAACTTGTATCAAGGCCCCAGGGCCTCGGGCTCTGGCAGGAGGTGGCCCTGCAGGCAAAAGAAGAGCCGGTGGAGGGGCCTTATTTGATCTGCTTGGGGCGCAGGTTGTTGGTGTGGTGCACCTCCTGCGGCAGGTGACTGCAGGGGTGCAGGCAAGCAGAACACTTGGAGCAGATCATCTAGTCGCAGTTGTATTTCTGGGCCAGCTGGCAGAGGGCAGGCTCGATGCTGCCACCCTGCAGGTGAAGCTCCCAAGTACAGGGTGGCCTCGTTCTGGATATTGTAGTCTGAGACAATGTGGCCATCCTCCAGCTGTTCGCCTGTAAAACTCAGATGCTGCTGGTCGGGTGGGATGCCCTCCTTGTCCTGGATTTTAGCTTTAACATTCTCAGTGGTGTCGCTGGGCTCGACCTCGAGAATGTTGGTCCTGCCGTCAGGGTCTTCACAGAGATCTGCATCTCTGTGTCTGCCGCAAGGCCGCTGCCGCCTGTGAGATTTTTGGTTACTGATTGTCTTCTTACTAATTATAGGTCTGTTCGCCTTTTCTTTCTTCGTGATTCAGTCTTGCTAGGTTTGATGTTTCTAGGAATGTGTCCGTTTCATCTGGGTTATCTAATTTGTTGGTGTACGTTTATTCATAGTGTTCTCTTATAATTTTTTTTCTTTTTTTTTTTTTAAGATTTTATTTATTTGAGAGAGAGAAAGAGAGAAAACAAGCAGAGGGGAGAGGTAGAGGGAGAAGCAGACACCCCGCTGAGCAGGGAGCCCAACGCAGGACTTGATCCCAGGACCTGGGGTCATGACCTGAGCCGAAGGCAGACGCTTAACAGACTGAGCCACCCAGGCACTGCTAATCTTTTTTATTTCTGTAGAGTTAGTAGTAATGTCCCACATTCGTTTCTGATTTTAGTAATTTGAGTCTTCTTTCTTCGTAGGTAACTGAGCTAAAGTTGTGTTGATTTTGTTTATCTTTTCCAAGAACCAGCGTTTGGTTTCATTGATTTTCTAAGTTGTTTTTCTATTTCCTTTATCTCTGTCCTGATCTTTACTATTTCCTTCCTTCTGGGTTTAATTTATCCTCTTTCTGCTTCCTTAAGATGTAAAGTTAGGTGATTGCTGTGGGCTCTTCCTTCTGTTTTAATCTAAGCATTTGTGGCTACACATTTCCTTCTTTGTGCTGTGTGTGCTGCATCCTGTAAGTTTGGGTAAGTTGTGTTTTCATTTTCATTTGTCTCAAGATCTCTTCTAATTTTTCTTGTGATTTCTTCTTTGACCCATTGGCTGTTTACCAGTGTGTTGTTCAGTTTCCACAAATTCGTGAATTTTTCAGTTTTCTTTACTCACTTTTCACTTCATCCAGTTGTGGTCAGAGAAGACACTTTGTATGGGATCTCTCTTTGTAAATCTATTGAGACTTAATTTGTGGCCTAATACACAGCCTGTTCTGGAGCATGGACTGTGCTCTTGAGAAGAATGTGTATTCTGTTGTTGGGTAGGGTGTTCTGGGTGTGTCTGTTAGATCTAGTTGGTTCGTTGTGGTGTGCAAGTCTTTGATTTCCTTGTCTTCTTTCTGGTTGCTCTCTCCATTATTAAGAACGGAGTCTTGGGGCGCCTGGGTGGCTCAGTCGTTAAGTGTCTGCCTTCGGCTCAGGTCGTGATCCCAGGGTCCTGGGATCGAGCCCCGCATCGGGCTCCCTGCTCCACGGGAAGCCTGCTTCTCCCTCTCCCACTCCCCCTGCTTGTGTTCCCGCTCTCGCTGTCTCTCTCTCTCTGCCAAATAAATAAATAAAATCTTTAAAAACAAACAAAACGGAGTCTTGAAGTTTCCAACTGTTACCGTAAAACTGTTTCTCCAATTCTGTCAGCGTTTTCTTCTTATATTCTGCTGGCATGTTACTATATACTTAATGGTCTGTCTTGTTGTATTGACCTGTTATGAATATATAAGGACTTTCCTGGTCCCTTATAAACTTTTTTTATTTAAAGTCTATTTTGCCCAGTATCGTTAGCACAGCCACCCCTGCACAGTCGATTACGGTTCACATGGGGTGCCTTTTTCCAGCCTTTCGCTTTCAACCTCGTTGTGTCTTTTGTAGACAGCATAGAGTGGGACCGTTTTCCTCACCCATCCTGCCAATCTCTGCCTTTTGACTGGGGAGTCTCACCATCTCCATTGGAAGTAACTACTGGGGAGGAGAGACCTTTGTCATTTGGGCATATGTTTTCTGTATGCTGTAGAGCTGTTTCTAGCCCTCATTTTTCTGCATTACTGCCTTTTGTGTTTGCTTTGTGTACTGAAACGTTTCTGTTCCCTTCTCATTTCTGTCTGTGTATATTCTGTAGCTGTTTTCTTAGTGGTTGCTGTGGGGATTACATCTGACGTCCTAACGTTGTAACAGTCTATAATTTGAATTTCTGCCAGCTTACGGAGCAAGTGAACTCTAGCCTTTTCATTTGTAAAATAGGAGAACCTGTGCTGCCTCCCTCAAAGGATCTTTGTGTGGCTCAAATATGGGAATCCGTAAAAGCTCCTTGTGAACTGCTGAACATGTACACATCGTTAACGCTCTCTTACCATCTTTTCCTTGGGCTTGCACTTAGGTTCTGGACGTTGCTAGTGGATACTTCCGTGTTGTTTTTGTTTTTTCAGTTAATTAACATATATTATTAGTTTCAGAGGTAGAGGTCAGTGATTCATAGTTGCATATAACACCCAGTGCTCATTACATCACGTGCCGTCCTTAATGCCCATCACCCAGTTACCCCATTCCTCTACCCTGCTCCCCTCCAGCAGCCCTCCGTTTGTTTCCTGTGATTAAGAGTCTCTTATGGTTTGTCTCCCTCTCTGGTTTTGTCTTGTTTCATTTTTCCCCTCCCTTCCCCTATGATCCTGTTTTGTTTCTTAAATTCCACATGTCAGTGAGATCATATGATACTTGTCTTTCTGTGATTGACTTATTTCACTCAGCATAATACCCTCTAGTTCCATCCACGTCGCTGCAAATGGCCAGATTTCCTTTTTTTTTTTTTTTTGATGGCTGGGAAATATTCCATCGTGTATATATATGTATACCACATCTTCTTTATCCATTCATCTCTTTCAGGGGTTTTGATTATAAATAAGTACAACAGTGTTTAGCAACTCTTTTTTAACCAGCCTTTCACAGAAATAGAACTGTCTTGTCTTCTGGAACATTTTTTTCTTCTTGAACAACTCTTTGATTCAACGGGTGCGGGTTAGGAAGCCGCCCTCTTCACGGTGCCCCTAAGGCATGTGGGAGAAGCAAAACCCTGTCCCGCCCTGGGGTGGGACAGGACTGACGCAGGCCGGCACAGCCCCCCAGGAGTGACCAGCCTAGCTGACCCAGTGACTGCGTTGCAGGCCCCCTGCAGCAGGAGGGAAGGTGGAGGCCTCCTGGAGGAGACAGGACTGAACTGGGGGGCTTGGCAGCACGGGGCTGAGCTGCAGGAGGGGACAGTGAGGACAGCTCGCGCAGGAGTAGGACAGGGGTGTTCGGAGGACATGTTTGCTGAGAAAGGAGCTACTGGAGGCACACGGAAGTGTTCTCATTTTTCTTCATTTTGCAGGAGGGGAAGTTGAGGTTCAGAAAATGTTTTGCCTGAAGTCACACAACTAGTTAATGGTGGAGTTGGTTCTAGGACTGTGCTGGATCTGTTGAGGCACAAGCTGCCGCTTTGTCTGATGAATAGGATTTCCCTTGAACCTGGTCGGCCCTGGATGTATCACTCTGAACCTGAGAACATGAGAATCCTCGTGTAAAATGATGGTACTACCCTCATGGGGCGCCTGGATGGCTCAATCGGTCGAGTGTCCGACTTTGGGCTTCAGCTCAGGTCATGATCTCAGGGTCACAGGATCGAGCCCCATGTCCGCTCTGCACTCATCAGGGAGTCTGCTCGAGATTCTCCCTCTCCCTCTGCCCCACTCTGCACATTGTCTCTCTCTCTCTCAAATAAATAAATAAAATCTTTAAATAAAATTAAAGGTTTAAAACTTGAAAGGGTGGGGAAGGAAAAGCAACCTGTGTCGTACTCTGCTCAGTTAAAACGGCTAAGGCAGCGCTATAGGTGCCGGTGCGTGGAGATCCCAGGGCTGGACTGTGGAATAAAGGCAGCAAACCTCAGACTGCCTACTGCTGACTCCCTTTGTGGAAAAACACACGACACAGCTGTTCACTTCATTCTCTACATCTACCTTGGTGTGATGTGTCAGGGAGACTTAGCCTCTCCTAGGAGCTCTGTACAGTGGCTCTTCCAGTTCCTGCTTGTCACTGGGGGGGTCTGCTTTTTCATGCACCACACGCTGAGCCTCTCTTCCTGGGTCCCCCTGGAGACCAGCCGCATGGCCTGTTTAGAGCAAGGCAGGTAAAGAGCCGTGGATGGGAAATAGTTCATAATTCCCTCAGTCTTATAAGTTGTGTGTTATGTGGACGTTTATGGGCATTCTGTTTCCACAAATACTTGTTTCCTTTTGTTCTTAATGTGATCAGCCTTGTTTAGCCTAGCCGTCCCTGTGGAGCAGGGGCCCGCACCCCGCTTTCCGCACCAGCTGCGTGCAGCTGTTGGCTGCAGTCGCCCCTGGAATGTGTACCTCTGCCCTTCACCTACCTGCTTCCCTGGCACCCTTGTGGCCTACCCGGTTACAGTAACACTTTTCATTCTGTTCCGGTGAGCCATTGCCGCTCCCTTTCCTCTAGACCCTGACCTCCTCCCACCGCTGTGACCCTCGCCCCGGGGCACATGTGTGCCGCCTGAGTAGTAGGCCCTCAGTAAATGTTCGTATGATGAATTTCTCAACTAAGGAACATGCTGTTTTCTTCTTTTTTTTTTTTAAAGATATTTATTTTTGAGAGCGTGAGCATGAGCGGGGGGAGGGCAGAGGCAGAGGGGGAAGCAGACTCCCCACTGAGCAGGGAGCCCGACGTGGGACTCGATCCCAGGACCCTGGGATCATGACCTGGGCCAAAGGCAGGCAACCGACTGAGCCACCCAGGCACCCAGAACATGCTGTTTTCTTACTGTTGTCTGGGTTTTCGTTGTCTGCTCTCGGATTGCTTTCCTCCTGCTAATGCGTTTGTGTCTTCTCTTTGCAGATGAAGCTACTAAACTTATATATAAAGAGGGCCCAAACCACGAACAGTAACAGCAGCTCCTCATCCGACGTGTCCACACACAGCTAATGGCAGCACCAGAGTCTCTTCGTGTAGCCCTAGAAGCAGTCGGTGGTGCCTCTCCGAGACCTTCCCCCACCCTCCCCCTCATCGGCTGCCCAATCAGTACAAGGAGGCCCGCAAATATTTATTACAATCAGTATTTTGGTCCCTTCCAGCTTTTGTGTAGAATCTTACTGGTATTGAATGTAAAGGAAGCAAGGCCTGTATTGCAGTCCTCATACGAAACAAATGGAATAAGAAAAGAGCCATACTTAAATGCATCTTGTACAGCCTGCTGAGATCATAAAACCATGTGTGTGGGGTGCACCTTCAAAAAATCGGAGCTCTCTGGCCAATACTTGGTAGAAAGTAGCATTTTCTCTTAGTTACTAACATTTGAGGAGGGTATGTTAATTTGTGTTTCTCTCTCACTTCGCTTTCTTCCTTCTGGATACGGCCTGTGACCCCAGGAAAGGGTCATACATCTTTCAGTTGTATTGTGAGACCTACTAAGAATGTGAGTCCACGTCTTGGCAAGAAACAGAGAAAAGCCTGAAGATGGTCTTGTAACAACCACGTGGGATTTTGCTTGTACAGGATCTAGCCTGGAGGCCCGGGGGCCCCCCTGCAGCCTCCTTCCAGGATGGGCTCCCCGCCCCTCTGGACACTCTACTCACGCTGTCCCCGCCTGGAGCTTCCAGTCGAAAGAATTCTTTCTTCTGTTTAAATCCAAACACAAAAATCAAGGTAAATCTGTAGCAGCCGTTCGTGGGTGCCTAACGTGGCATTTCATGAAGCCTGGAGGGTACAAAAGAAGGTGCGTGTTGTGTGAGTGAGTGTTCCACTCCTCAGCTCTTGGGGAAACACTATGTTAACAGGGCTCCGCCTTGACCCTGGTGCTTGGTGGTGCGGATTTTTAGATTTAGCGCCCTCTCTTTGCCTCCCCCGCAGCCTCTGCCTCAGCTCCTCAGTTCTGGAGTGTTCTCCGTCAGTCTGGTAAATGGCATCCCAGTTTTGACTTCTCGGTTTAATATAGGAGTAAGATCGAAGAAAAGTCCAGAGAGGCCAAGTATCAGAATCTTTCTTTTTTTTTTTTTAATTTTATGGACAAAAGTACTTTCTTGCTCATCTGTTGAAATAGTCCTTGTTTAAGGAAAAAGTAATTTGGCGGCTAGCAAATTGCAGAAAAACAGGATTTGAAACCCAGTTTCAAAGTCTGTTTCCTTTTCTCCAATGAGAAATGATCAGAGAAACTACCCTTACAAATTTCTTAAGGGTTTGATTGCTCCAGTAAAATGAACTCTAGATTTGGAATCTGGTTAAGTACATTTTGAGTAAAATTCTTAAAGCCACATGGAAATCCTTGATGTCTTCACAAAGGCTTCTATCCTGTGTCTAAATGGAACTGGTTTTTCCTTCTGGAAAATGCCTACTCTGGTGGTATTTTTTTAATGAGATGTTCGCTGTTCCGATGCAGAATCCCCTGCAGCCTGCAGCCCTGAGAACAGAGACTGTGTGGGGTCACCACGGACATCCACAGACCCCCCTGCTCTGGCCCTCCGCTTTGTGTTGGAAGTTGCAACACTGTAGCACACATAAACTCAGTTTCATTCGGAATTTATTTTAGATACTTTATTTGGAACTAGGCACTGAAAATGAAGGTCCAGGAACAGTGAAGCCAGGGTGCCTTCACTGAGAGAGAGAGAAAGAGAGAGCGTGTGTGCGTGCATGTGTGTGTGCTTGTGTGTGCGCGCGCGCATGCGCGCACGCAGGGGGTAACTTGCACATGGAGGGAAGTACCCCACTGCTGCTGTTGAAGGAACTTCAGGGGTGCATTTTAAGTGGTTGAATATTGACTTATTTTTGGCTCAGAACATAGCAGGACCAGGCCTTACTTTCACTGATAAATACTGTTTGTTATATTTCACTAATGGGATTTCCTTTTTACACTCGACAAGTGAGTCAGGGCACCTTTTGATTACTCCTCTGTTGTAGAAACGTGCATTCTGGCTAGGTTATTTATGAGTTCTGTTCCACCTGATGTGTTTGGAAACACCTTCCTCCTTGAACTCTCTGACTCCCTGGTCCCCCAGGCCCCGCCGCCTGCAGTTGGGAAGAATCTTGAACATTGCCGAGTTGTCCTCACAGTACTCCCAAAGGGCTAGCCTTGAATGTCATTCCCCCAGCCTTCGGTCTCCTGACCTAGAGAGAGCTACAATCACTTACAGGTCTCTTGGCCTCAGTCAAAGTCCTGCCCTCGCCGGGGAGACTCGCATGGGGAGACTCGCATGCCGCCACCACCTCATGGGGAGGGAGCTGCGCCTGCCGCCGCCCTCCGAACCCCGAACCCCTGGACAGCCGCCGCCGCCCCCCTGCAGGCCTCCCGTTCGGCCCAAACACCACAAAGAGCAAAGCACCCAAAACTGCGAAACTCTGTTTGCCTCCCCTGTTCACCTGACCGTCCAGGACCCTGACGAACCCACCCACCTGAGCCTCCCTCCTGCTGCGGCTGGCTTCCCTCCTGGCTCCTACTTGCCACGGTGCGGCGGGCAGGCTGAGGCCGAGGTGGGCATGCAGCTTCAAGTACACTGTGTGTGCTTCGCTGGGCGGCACTGCGGACAGCCCGGGACTGCCTCACTGTGGCTCCCCCCGGCCTCTTCCCTGTGCAGGTGATGCAGCCGATCCTGGTCTCCTCCGTCTTTTTCTTTCCCTGCCGCCCTTTATTTATCAAGCCTAATACTACACGTTAACAGCAAGTAAGAACTTTGTAGAATTCCACCAGGACTTTGCTAACAATGATGTTTGGAAATGGAAAAAAAAAAAAAACGCTCTGAAAACTATCAGCCACCAAAATAGTTTTGTCGGCACTGTGTTCACACGCATGGTCCCCACACCCCCAGGTTGGGTTTTTTGGGTTTTGTTTTTGTTTTTTGGGGGCTTTTCATGTTACATCCATATCTGTATTTATATCTTATTTGTTTCACTTTCAAGTGTATCATGGCAAATGTACAGATTTTTTTTGTTAATAATGTGCTAGGATTTGCTAAAAAAACAAAAAAAAAAAAACCCTTTTTGAGTTTGCCCTAGAATAAATGAAACTTAATTCAGTTTCTTGCCCTGGAGCAGTCTTTTTCCTCCCCGGATCCTGTAGCTAGCTTATCCTGTCTCCCCGACCCCAGAAGGTGACACGTTTGTAAAGAATCTGAGGGGGCTCCATCAAGGGAGTTTTCTCGATGTCAACATGTCACTCTCTAGGGGGAGTGTCCCACCTGCCCTGAGTGCTTTCGGGAGCTGCCACCTTGCAGTGTGGAGTGGAAAGGTTGGGCGTAAAGACCCAGGTGGGCTGTCTGAGCAGAGAGGAGGTTAGCTTCCAGGAACTCAGCTCAGGAGCTGCTGCTGGGAGCAGGCTGGACCTCAGGGAAGGACTTGGAGGGAGGGGGCCTCCTGGCAGCTGACCGGAGCATGGACTTAGGAGGAAGGCGTGCAGGACACCAAGGGCACCAATTCACTTTTTTGAAGCCTTTTACTAAAAAAAAGATGGTGAGTTTTCCATTGTTTACTGTGATGTACCTCAAGTACCACCACCCCATGACTCAGCCCCCTTTCCCTGTGGCCCATCACCTCCTCCCCCCCCACTCCTTGGTAGGAGTGCTCACTGCTCACAAATGCTGGGCCCAAATCCCAGCTCCCACTCGCCCCAGGCAAGTCGCCGCTCTTCCTGCCGGCAGTTCCATTTTTAAGGTGGAACAACAGCTACGTCCTGGTGGGGCTGTGAGCGTTCGTGGAGCTGAGGTAAGCTGCTGGGACGGAGTGAATGCTGGGATGCCCCTGTGCTGCCTCCTTCAGGGAGAGGGAAGTCGGGTGAAGCCACCCCCGCAAGCCTGCACGCACACTCCATTATTCATTAGTGAATGTGGAAAACTCCCGGGCGGGCAAAGACCACAGTCCTTTGGGTCTCTCTAACCCCTGCCTTTCCCAGACTGCCATCTTGAAGACGGGCACGGGCCATGATTGCAGCGGGGTGGGGAGTTCAGAGGCCCACTGTAGTCCACAGCGCTTGGTTCAGGGGGCCTGAAAGGTCTTCTCTCCAGAAAGTGCACCTTTCCACTCAGTTTGGCACTCACTCATAGAAGATTCCAGGACCCCCCTGAACCTGTCCCAGGTTCCCAAGGTGAAAAGCTCTGACCTGAAGACCAAATATGCTCTTGACATTCTTGGGTCATTCTCGAGGGGATGGGGACGTGCAGCTGACAGGCAGCATTAATAAACTTGTCTGGCATTTAGACTTGGGAGAATTCTCATCTGTAACCTCGGACTGGCTTTTCCACCAGTTCTGTGATGCAGATAAGGGACGTGCTGTCCTGTTCAATTGTCAGAGGAGGAAACTGAGTCATGAGGCATGAGGAGAAGGCTCTGTTAGACGGTGACAAATGTTAGGGCAAGACCCCAGGCTCTGCCCCTGTCTAGCAGGTGTCTTCCCAGCCGCCCCCCCACCGCCTCCCACTGTTAGCACATTTTTCCAGGAACAACAGATGGGCACGTGGGAGTCCCTCCGGGGGGGGGGGCTTGTGAAGCAGCATGCTCGGTGCCACCCCCTGAGCAGCAGATTCTGGAAGGCTGCAGGTGGGCCTGGAAAGGTGCATTTCTGACAACTTCCCCGGCGAGGCTGATGCTGCTGGTCTGGGGTCGCAGCTCGAGAACCACTGCCGTGCACTTTGCTTAAAACAGGACGGGTGGTTTGGTCCCAAGCTTTTGGGCAGTCCTGAGAGAAGCTGTTGCAGAACACAGCACTGGGCTGCAGCAGCTGGGCCAGGCCACCGTGGACATGATGGGTAAGGCTGCTGCCTGTCTAACTTAGCCTCCTGACGAGGACTTCCGGAAGGGAATGGGGGCCGTTAGCAGAGGGAAGCCAGGAGTGTCCGGGGCAAACTGGGCACTCAGCCCTCACCCCCCTCGAGCATAAAGCTCCCTGCTCAGGGGAAAGCGCTTCCTGCAGGGCCTTCGCCCAAACCAGCCGGCCTCACGGCTTCCTCCAGTATTTATTAACTCCCGCTTCAGTGGCTCCAGGCAAGAACGGACAAAGGTCATGTGAATGGGCATCTAATCCCGGATTATGTATTTAAAAAACACTACAATGCTTCCACACCAGTGCCCTCCTCAGACGGCGGGCCTGCTGCCAGCACCGAGGCCCCGGAGGCTGGCTGTGGGGCGCGGGGCTGTGGGGGCGCCCCAGGTGTCCGCAGCTCCAGCGCCCATCGGCGCCTCTCTGGTTGCCCGCTTCCCCGTCTGCGGGCTGCGACGGCCTCACCCCGAGCTGTTGGATGCCAGGCTCACCAAACTGTGCCTCGGGGGCGCCCCCGGGGTGCTGCTCACGGGGCCTGGTGAGGGGGTCAGGGGCCCACCTGGGGCAGGAAGTCTGGATCTTGAACCCTACTTGAGTGTTGCAGGGTCTATGACTTCACCCAGATGACTCCAGTCTAGGAGGAGGTCAATTTCTTACTGTAAAAAGAGTGGAGGAGTGAGGGGTTGCTCGGGGTGAGGGGTGGCGGGCCCCGCTGCTCCTTGGCCCCCACAGCACCTCCTGTCTGGGCTTCTCGGGCGCCCTCTCCACAGG